GGGGGCTGTTTGGCTGCCCCCCCCCCCCAAGCTGCCTGCCCTCTCCCCAACAAACCCACCACTGCAGCACCGGGCTGGGGGTCCCTCTGCCCATCACACCCACAGGGTCTCCCCGGCACGTCGGTCCCTAAACCCTTTAGGAGAGCTGAGCTCTGCGCAGCACCCAGCCCCGCAAGGCCACGGCTCAGGATTGAGCCGCCGGCACGTTAAATCATTGGGAGCGGTTGGAAAAACCCTAACGCAACCGCTTGCAGCTGCCTGCCAGGTACCCTGCCCGGCGCCCTGGCTGCCCGCCCGGCAGAGCAGGCTCAGCAGCGCTGGGACCGCAGGGTCTCTGCCGGCAGACGGGCTGTGCTGGCACGGCAGGGGCCTGCCATCACTCACTCCATCGTTGAAGGCACCCGGGTGTCGCAGACCTTCCCCCACGAGCAATCGCTCTCCTCGGGCATCCCGACGCTCAGAGATGCTCTCCCCGCGGCCAGGCTGCCCCCGGCGCTGCTGAAGGAGAAACCATCACTGAAGGGTATTTTTAACATCACCTTGGTAAAACGTAAAGGCTAAAAATCTCTTGGCAGACAGAGAACTATTCTTCTCTTTCTGATGAAGAAACTATTTCCTTGTACATCTGGTTCATATTTTTCTTTAGGTTTCTGCCAGAAACAATTCTGAAAACAAAACGCAGAACTGAGTGCAGTGAATGTATACATTCCTGAAGGATTCCTTCACCGCTCCTCTCTGACCCAAAACCTACCAGCCCTCCTTACAAACCTTCTTTTTTCTTTTTCATTTTTCATTTCTTTTTAATTAGTTTTCTTTTTGAAATGTGAAAACATATGGCCTGATTAGCTCTGGAACACTGCTGCCTGCATCATATAAAATGATCTACATTTAGAAAATAATTACAGCGAATAGGACGGGAAAAATACTCCATCACAGAAAATGTTGGGTGTTTTTTTTTTTTTTTCCTAATTGTTTAAGCCTATTATCTCTCCAGTCAGATTTGTCTGGAAAGCCTTATTAATGACTGTGTGACACGAGCCTCGCGCTGGGGCCTTGCAGCCCAGAGATACTGCGTTTTTCTTTGAAATCCAGGTTTCAGCCTAGAAAAGGGGAAGCAGCAGTGAGTGGCGTTTGAGGCCGCGTTCGGCTGCACCCATCCTGCTTTGGTTTGCTGCCGCTGAACACATGTGGGCAAATAGCCAGGGTGGCTTTGCTTTTGTAAAGCTCTGTGGGTAGAGCTGTGAAAAAAAAAAGAAAAAGGGAAAAAAAACCCAAGGAAAAAAAAAACCAACAAGGGAGAGTGATATCCCAGTCCCAGTCTACCTAATCCCCAGTAATTGGGAGGGAGGGGATGGGGAGGTCACGGGTGGGTGCACCCGATGCTGCCTGTACCACCTGTGAGATGGATGGCACCCACAGTGTTGTCATAGCACCAAACTCCTGCTCCTGTGTCTGCTGCTGAGGAAGCGCGGCAGCTGAAAGCCATTGGCTTTACCTAATTGGGAACAGAGATGATACATTAAGAAAGAAATGTGTAGCCCCAAATTATTTATGTTCCTAGTGGGAGTAGTGCAGTTGCTGCTTGACAGTCAGCCTCTACTCCCCCACCAAGGTATCCAAGTGATGCCTGAGCTGGAGAGACCATGTTTTGCAGGCAAAGCTACAGAAATGTTTGTAAACATCTTTACTGAGAGAGGTTTGTGTTGTTGCTGTTTTATCCTTTATGCAGAGAAAAAAATCAGGGATGGGAGTAGGACCCCCTTTACCTCCTCCACCACTATCTCTAGGCTTGTCTTTAGCCCAGTGAGGCTGTGGTTTCACTTGGGGATAGAAGGGGGTGAGCGGCTGTGGCTGGGAGATGACCTGCACATAGTATGTCTTGACTTATTTTTTAACCCAATGTAGATGTTTATTCAAACGCCTGTGCAAGTGCAGGGAGTCCTGTTTGCAGCAGAAGTGGGGTGGCTGTGGCTCTGGGGAGGAGGATACCTCCGCTGGGATGCTGCGTGAGCCGCTGTGCGGGGCAGCGAGCGGAGGGATGTGGTTCCTGGCAGGGTTATGAACCAGAGCCTGCTGCCTTCCCTGCAGAGAGTTGCTTGCTTTCACTCCAATAATTGCTGCTTGCTTGGAAATGCTCCTGCTAAAAGACCAAAATGACTGATTACAAAAATTGGAAAGGATTAAAATCTCTAAAACAATGCAAAGGGAAGAAAATAGATGAGCTAGCGAGGGAATGGGCTTATCACTTCTTGAGCAAACAAACAAGTGAAAGCTAATTTTCTGAGCCAGCAAATGAATGATTAATGAACCAACCCACAATTAACCCTTCATCACAAGCTCACCTACTCTGGGTAACTGCTTTGCACAGCTATTGCTCTGTTTCACATTGGAATAAAGACACAGTCTGATGGTCATAAATCTGCTGCTCAGGTTATATTTCAAAGGGCTTTGACATAGCAGGTATATCTGGGGAAGGAAGAAAACATGGCTTCAAGATGTTCCAGATGTAAAGTATTTGGGATGCAGTGTTGTTTCAAGAGTCACCTGTTTGTGTATCTCTCCCCGCATGGCAATAAAGTAACCTCCTTGACATAGGCACAACATATTTTAAAATATGAACTTGTCTTTTTACCGCATTTTGTTAAATGATTAATTTGCCTTATATTAACTTAAAATGAGCTCATTAAAAGATTTCTTTTTTCTTTGAAAGCACTGCTCATTATACTATCATTTTAAGTAATTAAATCAGAATAAATGGCTCTGTGAAGCTATTTTAATGTAACATCTAATTATATCTGACCTAGACGCTGAACTATAATCATTAACTACATGAACTGTGTAATGTTCTGCAGACTCTTTAATAATTTATACAGGCTGAATTCAGCTGTGTGGAGTAGTAAGCTGAAGCTCTTAGATGTCATGCACCTGTAGTGGTCTGGGACAGCTGATGGGAGTTTGCTGGTCGGGCTATTTCCAGCTCTGCCTTGGCTCCAGGGGGTTTTCCCTGCGGAGCTGTACTGGCCGTGGGCTCGGTTTGACCCGGCTGGGGTTGTTTCTCCTTTGTTGTGTGCGTGGGGATGGAGCACATGTGTCTCGGGCACGTGTGTGGTTTGAGGTTTTCTTCTGTAGGACGCCCTGGCCAAGGTAATATCTTTATACCAAGTATATTTAAACTGTGTTAGACTGTAACTTAGATGTTTTTGCACGAGCGACCAGGCTCAGTTACAAGAAGCTTTGCTTTTGCTGTGTTAAACTGTACTCTTGCTGTTTGCTTTCTGCGGAGGCTCAGTCTGTGCTTCCATTTGAAACAAATTTTTCTCTGATCTATTTGCATATAGCTTCCAGATTCATTTTCCCTGGAAGACATGCCCAAGTTAGATTACCTCCTGAAAATAAGTTTGTCTGGGGAAGAAAAAATTGGTTTGCAGGAGGTTCAACCTTTCCCTAACTCCAACAAAAAAAAAAGAGAGGGGTTGGATGCTGCCATTGCGGTAGATGGTCCATCCATTTTCGCTGCAATGCTGATGGGCTCGATGCCTCGTGGCAAGGGAACAGAAGTACCATGTTGTAGCGTATCCAAAAATTGCTGGTGCCACCTATTGGTGGAAAGCTGCAGATTAGAACGTGATTCATGTGTAGCGTTCTGCCCTCTGCTTATCGTTCCCCAGCTGACGGGTGGGCCGAACCGGTTTTACTGTTAGTTTTAATATCAGTTACCGTTGGCAAACACTCTTTGTGTTCCTTGTCTATCTTGGGTGTGATTCGCAAACAAGAGTCTTTGCTGCGGGCAGGCAGCTGCTGGTGGACACGCGTAGCCCCGGGGATGCGTGTGCCGAGAGGGCAAGTATGCAGACCTGCTCCCCGCGAGGAGGGGAGGGCAGACCCGAAAGCCAAGCTTGTGTAAATAGCGCTGCTGGATGTGTCGATAAACCCACTTGGCTTAGGATAAATGTTGGGTATTCCCACAGCCGTTGCCCGTGGTTGGGATGCAGAGGGAGAGGTGGAGAACTTGGGGGGGGATGCAGCACTGCTTTGGGGGTCTTCTTGCACCAGCTGGAGTCCTGCAGGCTGGGCACGGAGATGGGTAACCTCGCCAGGCGAAGGAGACACGGGTACAAAGGCTTTGCCGTGTAGCCTTTGCTACGTGGATTTTTCCAGCCTCGGGGGAGTTCCCAGCTTTGCGAGGGAGAGCTGAATCCCTGTCTGGAGCCCTGCTTCCTGCTGCCTTGTTGCAGGAGACCTTTAGCCAAGCCCTGATAGGCAACAAAAAGCCCTGCTGGCCTCCTGCCTGCTACGCTTAAGCAGTTTTATAGCTGTCATATAGAACAGCCCTATATTAGCATCAGGTTTAATACTCCTGGGAAACATCCAGCCACAGTACTGACATCATGGACTAAAGGCTCCAAAGGTTCACTTGCTTAAGTGGCTATTTGTAATAGAGTCTTTTAATAAAATCTCATTAAAGGAGAGCTCCTGCCCAAGCCCGGTTCCTGAGATAGTTGGAACGGAGCACCCAAGACCAGCGCCGTGAGCTGCTTCAGGAGTGGGGAGGGGGGGGTAGAGTAAAGGGGCCCCTGCATGGAGCTGGTTGGGGCTGGAGAGAAGAGCCTGGCACTGGTCTGGGGTGAGAGCATGCTGCTCCTGTCCAGACCCAGAGGAGTAAAAGGGCTTTGTAGAAAGCAGAGCAGAGGATGAGCTCTTCTTACGGGGGAAGGGCCAGAGATGCTCCAGGTTATTGCACAGGGACCACCCCGGCTGGGAAGGACTGGTGGGAGACAAGAAGGACTGAGATTTGTCTCCAGTTTTCCCTCCCCACTGTGAGCTCCTAAATGCTGATTACTTTAGCCCCTAAGCAAGGGGCAGAGGATGCATGTTGCTCCTGAGTTAAGATGCCGGGAGGTTGGTGCTCCCAGGGCTTTCTCACATTTTCTGTTGCAGTTTGGCTGAACCTTTTTTTTTTTTTTTTTCCCTACTGTATACTTGAAGAATAATCTGAATTCCAGGGAAGAGTTTTCTAAACGCTTGTCTCCTCTGTAATTTTTCTGTCATGCCATAGAGAGGAGCTGCTTGAAAGACTTCAGCAAAGAAATTATTCTCTACTTCAATCCTAGGGGGGTTTTGTTGGTTTTCTTTTTTTAAATACCTAAAAAATTACACTTTGATGTGAAAATTATATGCACTTAGAGATATGCTAATATGAAGATGATTGGAGAAACGTTGAACATGGAGAACAGCTCATTTCCAGGCACTCTCCTTCACCACCTGCATCTCCAGCATCCTCAGTCCCATCCTTCCATACACATCTCTCCTCAAAGCCATGCTATTTACACTGTAAAAGCTACTCCTCTTTTAAACGGGTTCAAAAGGACACGCTTTGTGTATGTATCAGGGGGATTTTTTTTTTTTTCCCCTTCTTTTCCAAGTGAAGGATTTGATGCCAGTTCTGTGGTTTTGTCACAAAGATGGTGGTGAGGTCCCTGCTCAGGAGAAGCTTAATGACCAGCAGTGCTTTCCTGTACTGGACTTGGGCTATGCACCCATCCTGAAGCCATCACTGGTGGTGGCAGAGCTAAAGCTTCTCAGCAGATCTTCCTGACCTTTAGTGTTAGAAGTGGTCCCCATCCTCCCTGCTTCAGGTTTTGCACAGATTAAAAACTTGCTGCTGACCGAGTGCAAGCTGCCTGCGCTGGCCACTGCTTTTGAGGGGATACAGCATGTTCCTGGGTCTGTCTGCCTTCAGAGATTTTTTGCCTGTAGTTCTTTACATATGCGAAATGAGATAAGCCCGGGAAAAAAGGATGGTTGTAGAGTAGCAGCCAGGACTGTATCTTCATGTTTTCTTTCCTCACTGGCTTCAAAAGCAGTATTTGGAGTCAACAAAGGCAGAGCTGGTATCATCACAGCTAAGGAGGATTTTGTTTGTCGCGGGTGCCCTGCTGTGTGCCCGGTGTGCTGGCGGAGTTAGGAAGAGCTCTTGCAGAAAGCCTGAAAGGCTGGAGATGTGCTTTATCTGCGAAGCAGGATGATGGTTACCAATGCTGAGGTTTAATGCCCCTCTCGCTGTCATACTCCACTCCTTTAGTGTCCTGATCGCTCGTGGGGACTTGCGACTGTGATGCTGGTGTCATTGCCGGCTGATGTCAGGGCGGCAGCTCCTGGGGCAGGGGGTGATGCTTGGTGTCGTTAACACAGAAATTAGAGCAACTGCAGTTTCTGTTCAGAGGCAAACGCAGGGGTAAACTTCAAACTTCCAGTGAGCAGCTTCTGCCTGTGCTCACAATCTGAAACAGGCAGGGAGGGCATCCTTTCGGTGATTAGCTCTAATTCCCCCACTGGGGAATAGCCTGAATTTCCTTATTAGTGGTTTTCCAGGTGGCGTTCTTGGTAGATAATACGGCTTGGGGCTGTTAGTGTAAGGCAGAGGCTGCTGTTGCAGCATTAGCTTCTGTTGCCATTTCTAGGCGTGCTCTCCCGGCGTGCCCCTTCCCTGCCTTATCCCATGGGAGCCCTCCCACACCCTGGTGCCTTCCCAGCACGTGTGGGTGCTGACCGGGGACCTCCAGCACATCCCGGTTTCCTGGAAATCCTCATCCTTGTGTCGCCTTTCCCCTGCTGTCTGGGGAAAAGGGAAAATGTTCATCTTGTCTTTCTTTTTCTGGTTGTTTCTCCAAATGGCCACCTGTTAAACCACAGGTAGTCATACTGGGGAACCCCCCCTCAAAACCAGCCTGATATACTGAGTTTCCAACTGTTTTACAGAGCAGCTCCAAATCCATTGGTTGCATCAATCAACTTTAATTTCAAGGGTCCGCAGAGTTTACGCCCAAATTCCACCAAAACTTACAAATCCCACGTCACGTCTGTTACCTTTGCCCGTGTTTTAGTTGGTTCCAGATCTATTCTAATTGAGAGAGGCATTAAAAATACCCATGAAATTTAAAATATACATTACAAGAGGTGTAGTACATACAGCAACAAAGAAAATTGGAATATAAGGCACAGGTGCGCACATGCCCCCATCACTCCTGTTCAAAAGACAGCCACTACCGAGCGCTGTAGGATTAATGACCGATGCTCAGGGTTACGTTACGCATTCACCTGAGTCCAGCAAAAGCTGAAATCTGGTATTTTGGGGTGGAGACACTCTTCAAGCCTGGTTTCCAGTGGAAACTTGCTCCGTGCTCGTTTTATTTCTGGCAGAAGCACAGAGGGCTCTCCGTTTGCTCGGGCCCTGGTCCTGTGGTGCGGTTCAGATCCCTTTTGCCTGCAGCTTGGGCTTTGGTTTGCATCAGTGTTAAACACATCATTTAATCTAAAACTAAAATTTGAGGGCTTGGGTATGGGCAAAAAATTTCTGCTTTCGGTCCTGAATTCAAATCACTTTGGAGGCACAGAGGCAACATTTCAACCTTGCTGATGGGCAGATGCAGACAAGCAGGTGAATTTTCCCTGCTAGCAAGGCTTTGAATGGGCTGAGCTTATCTGGGGGGCAAATAACATCCTAGTGCAAGGCACTGCAGAAACAGGCCCTATTTATGAAGCTTTATATTAAATAAATCAGTTATAACAAGCTCTGAATTTCCCCTAAATGTGCCAAGCCAGAGAGCATGCTTGCATAGAGTTTTATGAGCAGTTTTGAAAGTTTAGTGTTAGCTGTCGTGTGCAAGCAGTTTTGATTCTAGGATGCTTGGGTTTCACCTGGGAATGGAGATATTCTGGCTCTGGGGAGGCCATTAGAGGAAAGATATTTTAAATGTTGAAGAGGTGTGTATTGTGAGTGTATTTAAAACTGTAGGTACTTGGAGCATGGTACTTGTGCAGCAATGAATCCAGATAAATAAATGCAAATGTCCAGAAGAACAAAAGGAACATTAAACAGATAATACCCTCTTTGCTGGGAAACAGCAAAGTTTCGGAGTCCATAAATAAAACCTCCAAATCTAATAAATGTTCTGGCGATAACCGGGAAAAATACTGAAATGGTCACTTGGTTGTAAGGGAGCATATTTCACTTTTGCCTAGCAAAAGGACTTGAAGCCTCTGCAGTTGAGTTGATTCATAGCCCTTTGTAATGCCCCGGTTATCCCCAATCGCAGCAGGTTTCATGCAGCAAGTACTACAGTATGTCAATGTCTAGTTAATATTTTAAGGAGAACAGAGAACAACCAGATCATAGTTTGCTGGTGTTTTTTTCTTTTTTCTTATTTTTTTTTTTCCTTTTTTCCTTGTTTTTTTAGGAAACGGGCTACTGATAAGAGTAGAAGCCTAGACAGAAATGACAGCTTCATCTGCTAATCGCCTGAGAAGATGCAACTTCCTTTGAACTCGCCAGGAAGAGAAGAACTGGGGAGGTGAGTCACGGGAATGGATGGGCTGAATGCATGCCAGGATGGAGCAAACAATACAAACTCCCATGGGGTTCCAACTAAAATGCTGGGCCAAACTGGTGTAAACCGCCTGTGTTTTTGCTGCTTGGTAAGGCTCTGATCTGTGGAGAAAAAATCTGAAAGGTTTGAGCGTCCCTCTTATCTTGGGAGTTTCTTCTTGTCTTTCTACTGGTAACCAGCACAACCTGCATTCCTGTATTTCACAAAAAAACCCCAAGAATCCTTTCAGTGTGCCGGGACAGACTATAACAGCCTGTTTCCACTAGATTGTGCCAAGAAGGTCAGGTGTACTCTGTTCCCTTTGCGGTTCCCCCTTGTGCAGCATCCTTTCTGCTCGCAGGCGGCCATAGCCGATGCCGGCGTCAGCCTGGATGAGGTGCGCAGCTTTATCGGTGAGAAACACGGCCAGTGCTCATGTGCATTTTCATCCAAAATCTGCCAGAAGCCCCGTGGGCTGGATGCTGGTGGGGAGGAAGGATGTGTGGGGTGTTTTGTTTTGTTTGGGTTCTTTTTATGCTGAGCTGAAGGAAAGACAGCTAAATTTGGTGTATGGTCTGTGCCGTCATCCATGAGGATATCCTCTCCGTAATCTATATCTATCCTGGCCCTGGTGTTTATCCAGAGAAGGATGGTTCCTGGTGTCTCTTTAGGAGGATGTGTTTCAGTTGTAGGAAGAGCAGCATGCAGCACGTTTTGGGCAGAGTGGCTGGAAAGCTGCCCGGCAGAAAAGGCCCTGGGGGTGTTGGTCAACAGCCGGCTGAACAGGAGCCAGCTGTGTGCCCAGGTGGCCAAGAAGGCCAATGGCATCCTGGC